ATGGTGTAATGTGGCAATCCTTAGTGAGCCTATCTGTAACGACCATAATCTGGTCAAATCCATCGACCAACAGAATAGGGCCCATAAAGTCGACTGATAAGTCTCTCCATCTTTGAAGCGGTATTGGGAGTGATTTTAAAGTGCCCTGGTATCGTAGCTGGGAGTACTTGTTCCGAAGACAGTTTGTACAGGCTCTACAAAATTGGGTGATATCGCGGTAAAGTTTCGGCCACCAATAATGTCTACACATGAGCTCGAATAGTTTGTTCTTGCCTGGGTGACCGCTCTCGACCGAGTCGTGGGCTCTTTGGAGAAGCCATACTCGTAGTTCTGTATCTGGGACATATAGCCTGTCCCGAAAGTATAGCCTGCCGTCGTCGATCCGACACTCGGACAATGCGACTTCTTTGGAGTGTGGTGTGCGGTCTTCTCTGTTCATTTCCTTAGAAGTCTTCTTCCAGAAAGGGTCTTCCTTGTACCCCTCCTCTAACATCCTAGTCAAGATATGGTCGTCGGATTCAGTTCCCTGCTCGTCTGGTTCTGGTTCTGGTTCCTCTTGTTCAGTGGGTCGTTCTTCCTCGTTTAGAGGTGCTAAGCGAATGGCAGGGTCTAAATTTTGAGGTTTGAGAAGTGACTGTTGTTGGTATATAATCCGAGGGTCGTCGTCTCGGCTCGGGAGGTCTTGGGATCGACGAGTAAGTGAGTCGGACTTGGTGTTCTTCTTACCAGGTACAGGTTTAATAACAAAGTCGAATTCAGAGAGAAACTCGCTCCACCGGACTTGACGGCGGGTCAGTTGCTTAGTAGTCATAAAGTACTTCAAGTTGGAGTGATCAGTGATTACTGACACAGGGTACGCGGTTCCCACAAGTTCGGAGCGCCAGGACTCGAAGGAACGTACTATGGCAAGTAGTTCCTTGTCATAGATTTCGTAATTGCATTCCGCGGGGTCGAGGACTTTTGACATAAAGGCAACAGGGTAGAGAACTCCATCGTGGTATTGGGACAAGATGCCGGCCGAGACGTAGTCGGAGGAGTCACATTCGACAATGACTTCCTTCTCTGGGTCGAAGTGCTTAAGTGTTGGTGCAGAAGTGAATGCTTGCTTAAGTGCTTGAAACGATTTATCACAAGTCGAGGTCCATTCCCACCTTACGCCTCTCTTAGATAGTAAATTCAATGGTTTAACTAACCTCGAGAAATCCTTAACAAAGCGCCGGTAGAAGTTCGAGAAGCCAAGGAACGCCTGGAGGTCTTTGAGGTGAGCTGGCCTAGACCAGTTCGTGATAGCCGAGGTCTTCTCAGGGTCCATTCTCACTCCATCCGTTGATATAATCATGCCTAGATAGGTGACTTCCTGGACTTCGAACTGGCACTTCTTAATGTCCAGCTGGAAGCCGGCTTTTTCGAGAGCCTCGAACACTTGTTCGACCTGCTTACGATGCGAGGTCAAGTCGTCTGAATAGATGAGTATATCGTCTATGTAGGCAGTGCAAAAGATATCCAGGAACGGGCGGAGTACTTCGTTAATCCGGGCTTGCCAGGTTGCTGGAGCGTTCGTAAGGCCAAATGGCATGACTAGAGATTCGAAGAGGCCGTAGCGAGTATTGAAAGCTGTTAGCCATTCGTCCCCCTCCTTAATTCGTATGTGGTTAAATGCTGCAATGACATCGACTTTGGTGAAGTACCTTGCTTTGCTGAGTCGTTGGAGTGTCTCTTGGATTCGGGGTATCGGATACCGGTTTTTGATCGTAATATCGTTTAGTGCTCGGTAATCCACGCAAAAGCGTAGTCCTCCACCAGGCTTCTTTGCGAAAAGTACTGGGGAGGCAGCCGGGGATTTACTTGCTCGAATAAACCCCTTCTTCAGCTGTTCGTCGAGGTACTTACGTAAGACCTCTAACTCTGGGATAGACATATTATATAGAGGTCCATGGGGAGGAGATGAACCAGGCTTCAATTCAATCTTCAGGTCGCAGTCTCGATGTGGGGGTAGCGTATCAGCTTTCTGACGGTTAAATAACCGAGATGACCACTTCTTCAAGTGTGGAGGGAGCAAAGTCTCAGGATCAACGTGCTCTCCAGGGTTGTTGTACTTTGCGAGTGCCTTCTGGATGTCGTCTAGAGAGGCCCCGCAGAGGTAGAGTTCAGCAGCCATTTGGCGAGAATCGGTGGTTTTGTGCTGGAAGTCGTCCTGAATCAGTAACTCCTTTTCCATGCGCTTCTGGCCCGAGAGGCCATCGTCCATCCGAATGCTGTACAAGGTGTCGGGAGTAGAAGGGCTCGCGCCTAACTCCTCTAACCTTTTGTCTATTTCAAAAACAGATAGAGAGAACACTTCAACGCCGTGAGTAGATGCCAGCCGGTTGAAGGAGGCAGCGCTGACTTTCAGGGGCTTAGGGATATGTGAAACGTCGTGACGAGTGCATTTCACTTGAACCGAATCCAACCTCCTAGGCATACAGTGTCCTCTACAGTACGTAGAGCCAAAAACGATACTGTGGTTCGTCCAGTCAATTTGAGGGTTGTGGAGAGCGAGCCACGGGTGTCCTATGATGATGTTGTGGGAGGCGAGTTTAGTAACATGGAAGCGTTGTTGACGTTCTACATGCTTCCCGACAATCATGTCCAAGATAACTATATGAGTAACATCACCTGCTGAAGAAGGTCTCCCGTCCGCGATGCGGAGACGACGAGGCCGAGCGAGTGGGACGAATTCAAAACCACAATTTTGCGCATAATCGGAATCAATGAAATATTGAGCTGAAGCCCCAGAGTCGAGCATAAAGTAAGTAGTAGAAGTTATGTGTTTGGTATTGCCTTTCTGTACTACCTTACAAGGAACCTCCATCGTACTTTTCTGCCTTTCCTCTAGAGATGATATCTTCAGGACCTTCTTCCGAAGACGTCTCTGACGGCGACTTTCGTCAGAGACTAGACTTTTCCCGCTTCCTTCGCAGCTTTCGTCGACTCTCGAGCCTCAAGCTTGGGACATCCAGTGGTGCCAATATTGTGGTCGGGGCTATCGCAATAGTGGCAAAGGTCGTGTTTGATTTGGTAGGCTTTGCGAGCTGTCTTCTCTTCATCGGTCTTCGCACGACGCTTTGCTTCTACGTCCTTCTTAGTCCAAACGAGTCTTCCAGCAACTTTCATCATATCGAGCTCCATCGGGTCTTCGTAAGCAGTAGCAGTAGCAGTAGAGGCAGTAGGCGTCGGGACTGTATAGGGGGTAAGAGCCATGGAAGCGAGCTTGGTAGGCTTGGTCTTGGTGAAGTGTTCGCCGAAGATCTTTCTACAGTTGCGGTCTTGCTCTCGGACAAGGTTGACTAGGTCGTGGGGGGACATGTCGTCGCTATATCGGCCGCTGGAGAGGACTTGAGCATGAATGCGTCTGTCCATATTCTGCATGAGAAGGTCAATGACAGGGAAGCCTTCGTTTCCAGAGGCAGACGCCAGTGCTAAGAACGAGCTTAGAAATTGGTCAGTAGGGCGAAGTCCCTGAGTCTCTTTTTTCAATAGCTGCCAGCTGTCTGACTTACTATAGACATTACCAAAGGTTCGGCGTAAGACATCGAGCATGTCGTCGACCGATGACAAGCTTACTTTGAAGGAGCTATCGTCGTTAATGTGAGGGTCGATGTGTTTGCGAGCATCTCCTTCCAAAGTACTCAAGACATATGCCATCCTACTTCTCTCAGTAGTCCACCAGTCAGCGTTCTCGGCTAACTTCAGCTTCAGGTCGATAATGTATGTATGAAGTTCGGCAGCTGAGCGTCGCGTGCCGCCGAATCGTTGAGGGTCAGCGTAAGGTTGTGACCGAAGTGTTAGAGGGGGTGGGTAAGCGTGAACTTGTGGTAGAGGCTGAGGTTGAGCTTGGGGTTGGGCATAGACTTGAGGCTGGGCTTGAGTTTGAGCTTGAGCTTGAGCTTGAGCTTGATTCAAGGCTTGGCTTGTGGTATGAAATTGAAGTTGCATAGCGTGAAGTTGGTTTCGTAGCTCTGCGGTCGTATTCTGTTCTCTCTCAAGGTCTGTGATTGCTTCTTCTTCGTCGCGACGAGAGGTAGCGTATTGGACTTGAAGTTGGTCGTGCTTGTTGAGGAGGTCTTGTAGGGCGTTACGAATACCATCCGGGTCATTGGGAATAGTAGTAGGTTTACTGATGAGGTTTCGAAGTTGCTCAATCGTGTAACCTCCTTCTGGTGGTGGTGGTAGCTGGTGGTTGTCGCGGGAGGTGGACGAGGTGAATGGGTTGAGGAAGCTAGGCAAGCCGGTATTGGCTGCCCATCCTTCGAACCCGTTGTTGTTGCTAGTACTCATCTTGAGGTGTTTGCAGTACGATGGCGATGCCTGTCGTACGACAAAAATTGAGTAAAGGGCAGACAATATGTCAGGGTGTATGATTAGATTGTCTGCGAGGAGAGAAGAGTTCTCCAAGCAGAAGTGCTACTTATCTATCTACAGTGCCTTGTTTCCCGAAATCTACCCGACACCAAGCCTCGAATTCACTGAATCAAATCTGTTACAACTACTCGAGTAGAGTAGGTAGAGTAGAATAGGTGCTACTACTCTACTCTACTCATTTCTTACACTGTTGGAGAATCGGTGCTCTTCTCACTTTTTCAAATGATAACCATTGCAAGATGTTACGGGTTGAAAGTGTATAAGAGACGTAGTCGTAACTCTGTACACACTCTCAGAATCAAATTATTCTAAAGGCGTCATACAACTAAACTAGCTGTATAGAGTTATGTAGATGGTCTGGAATGATTGCTACCACATACCTTTTAATAGCCTAGGTATACAAATACGACTATTTCACTTACGCTAGAGGTTTAGTATAATAACCTTTTGTATACTATGTAAAGAGTCATGATCAGGTATTTTATTAGCTTACTATTCTGTAGCTGAGAAGGCCAGCTACTGTACCTGTACTACTAAATAAGCTAATCAAAATGAAGAAGGCAGATAACCAGTATCTCAACACCAGACAACCTCACAATCTACTCCCAACCAAGCTCCTTCTTCAGTTCCGCCAGTTTCTCCTCCGCTAGACTATTATCCCATTTTGCACATATCTCAAGGGCTCTTTCCGTCTCCGGCGTCATTCTTCCGATGCGAGTTCTCTCCCTCACATCCTCATCACCAAAATCTATAGGCCGTGCCCCAAGCTTTAACAGAGTCTCAATTGACTCCATCTTTCTTGACCTCAATGCTTCGATCAATGGCGTTTTGGTGTTCGCCACACTTTCGCCGTCGCTACCCTTCTTTCTTGGATACTCATCAACATCCATTCCCACCCCCTTCAAAAATAGCTCAATCATCTCACCATGTCCCATCTCAATAGCTCTGGAATATGGATAATAGTAGAATCGCTTATCGCGTGTGCCCTTGTACTGATCATGATCTCGCCAAAGAGTTCTCGCAGCTTCAGTGTTCCGGTTTAACACAGCTCCATGATAAGCCTGTTCCAGATTGACATACTGGCAAAGTGTGTCAGGAGAATACTCCTCAACACAATCAGGAGGTCGCTGTTCGAACTCATCGAGCATGTAAAACACGATATCGAAATGATTTTTTCCGGCCGCCACCTTGAAGGCGTTGCCGCCATAGTTGTCAAACTCATCAAACTCCTTCAGGCTTGCCTTCACGATTTCAAGGTGTCCGAGCCTAGCAGCTTTCACAACCAACGTCTCCCGCTGAGAATTTTCCCAAATTACCAGCTCATCGACATCGGCTCCTTCTTCGATAAACAGCTCTACCAGTTCGTCATCGCCGTGTTCGCAAGCACGATGCATGAGTTCCACATCAGACATGAACTCGCATGGACCATCGTGTTCAATCTTCTCATGAACCTCGAAAAGGAACTTCACGACATCTGAAAAGCAGCGCGGATCGTAAGCAGCCGCCATCGCAATATCGTAGTCGCGATGGCAATCTCTCTCCTCATCATCGAACGCATCAGCTACCGCTGGAAACTTTTGATCGTAGAACAGTCGAAGAATATCTATGTTCCCCTTCTTAGCAGCTTCTTCCCTCGCAGTCCACTCTGTCGTCGACCATTTCATCGGATCCGCTCCCTTCTCTAGAAGCGCTTCGGCCAAGTCCTTTCGTTGCAGGGTAGCAGCAGCACCCAAAGGAGTCCCAAAAGCACTGGTTTCGAAATTGATGTTCAAGCCCCCTCGAGTTTTCACCTGCCCCAAAATCTCCTGGACAAAGTCCTCATAACCCTGGGAGAGCATCGCAACAATCAGTTTCGAGATTTCGCAATCCACGTTATTTTTCTTCTTGCCTTTAGGCGCCTTGTTTCCAACCCTTCGGGCGACCTCATCAATCCTAAACCAATCGAATCCCATATCTGTCATGAGTCGACAAATGGCTTTCTGGATTTTCTCTCGCTCCGCTTTCATCTTCATCTCCATATCTTCTCCTGTTGGATCATCATCTTGTACATCTCCCTGCATAGCCACCAATCTCGCCAAAAACCCATCCACAACATTCCCAAGAAGTACTTTCCACACCCACTGCTCGCCCTTTCGAATCTTATCAAGTGTCTTCCGTTGATAAAGGCCCTTGACACACTTTCTTCCCGGGCGAGTGAACGGTCTCAGGGACGCTTCGTTGGAGAGTGCAATCATAATCTTCGTGAGGTTTCTGTTCCAGAAGTCTACAGTACGTTCTCATGTTAGTCGTACACTCTCCAAGTCCTCTTCAGACCCCCAAAATAAGGTAAGGATCGAGACAAGAGAAGATCCACTCACGATTCACCAATCTCATCTTCAAAGGTCCACGTATATCGTTGACATCGAAGAGGACAAGCTGCTCGATGATCAAGCATTGCAGGTCGGCGGTGTTTATCGATTTCATGGTCAAACGTCGAGCGCGAGGTGTGATGGTTGAAGGTGTAGATAGATGGGGAGGAGATTTCTTTTGGAATGTGGGTTGCTCTCAATTTAACTTCAAACTCCCTCTTTATCTAGTGTCCTGCGACGGTCGTACGACCATCGGTGAAAGGAGGGCCATCAGTCCTTATAAAGGTGAAAGGAAGGCAGTTCGTTTCCTGACTACGCAATGAGATAGGGCAATGAGTTTGAACGGATCATCGGTTAGATAATTAGTACAAAATTAACCAAAACATCTCTCAAAGAACACTGGGAATTTTGTCATCTGTGACTAGGAAACTCTACGTTGAACGACAGAAAGATCTTGGATCTCTCGCATCTCTGTCATTGTTACAACACGAGCACTCCTGGCTCCACTGTCTGGCACTAGCATATTCTATGGAAGGCGCTAGTCCTATGCTGGACACTTCCAGGCGGACAGACAGCTCAAAGAAGTAAAGACTATGTAGTTATTAGCAGGCTGTGAAGTGCAGGTGTAAAGCAGGCAACTTGTAAGACTAGAACAATAGAGGAGCCTTATATAATAGTAAATTAAAGTTAAGGAATTAAGGGTTGGTTGTCTAGCTACGGTTATAAAGAATAGTCGTACTCGGTATCTAGGAATCTGGTTAGTTGTCTACAGTAGGAATAGCCTTAGAGAGAAGGGGGGATAGTTATTAGGGTAGGAGCAAACCTAGCTAGTATAGTGTACATATAGCTAAGCCATGGGCGCCGCCCTCCTAGACTAATACAACCCCATCTACCTACTAAGTCAACAACGTATATATATACCGACGAAGGGATAATACCCTCTTATATATCCCACAAAACCACAAAGCCAAACAAAACAAAACAACCTAATATGCCCTTCCTTCCTCCCTTCCTTCCCCCCTTCCTTCCTTACTATCTAAACAAACCCAAATTAAACAAATAAAACCCATAACACCATCTAACAAAAAACCATACCCCATACCTTCCATTTCCTTATAATCCCTCCTCCCTCCTCCCTCCTCCCCACTCCCCACTCCCCACATATCAAACACCCCTTCTCCTTCTACATATCTAACAACCTCCTTCAAATCCCCCCTTCCCATTCCCCAAAAGGAATTTCCGATTAGATTCTAAGATTCAAATCCCATTAACTCCATCCATTTCAAGAAACCCCACCTACCTACCTACCTACACTTATTCCCATATCATTCCTCACCTACCTCCATACCTATAGGCTATCCTACCTACTGTACCTTACACTATTCATATCCAATAATCTTACTATAAGCATATATCTCTACGATATATACTCTACATATCCTAGGAATAGTTACTACACTACTCGACCACTCCTCTCCCTACCTCCCTACCTCCCCTACCCACCTACCAGCTTCCCCACTTCCTTACAAGCTAAATAAACAAACACAAATATAAACACCAGTACAGAAAAAAAGAAAAGAATACTATAATAACAATAAATAATATATAATATATACCTACTTACTTATCTTAGAATCTCCTAAACATCTCTAGTACAAAAGAAGTAGCAGAATATATATATGTAAACTATTTATTTTACCTCTTCTCTACTTCCTACCTCCCTACTTTTCTACCTACCTACCTACTTAACTTCCCTATAAAATATAAGCTAAACAAACACAAACATAGAAAGAAAAAAAAAAGAAAAGAATACTAGAATAAAAATAATAAAATATAGTATATACCTACTTATCTTAGAATCCCCTAAACATCTCTAGTAAAAATAAAAAAAAATAAAAAAAAATAAAAGAGAGGAAGAATATACAAATATAAACCACCCTTTTCCCCTCTTCTCTGCTCTCCCCACCTCTACTCTACCTCTACATCTCCCTACCCTTCTCCCAAAAAAACCAAGAAACCCCAATATCCGATCCCCTTCTCATCCATCCATCCATCATTCACCCATACACATCTCATTCCCCCTCTTTACCCTCCTTAACCCATCATCTCCTTACCCCATCTCCTGAACCCAAGCTAAAATCTAAACCCATGATCTTTCTCTTTCTCCTACTTTCGTACTGTGTTTCTAGAAACCCCCCGAACGGTAAAACACCACATCCCATTTCCATTCCCAATTCCCATTCCCACCCAAGGCCCCCCCACCAAAACCCCAATGAAAAAAATCCCACAAAAGGTAAATAGGAAAAGAAAAGGAAAGAAATTAAAAACGCCCCAAGATTAAAACTCCTTTTGTGTGAAAGAAAATTCTGGTATACGATACTGGATTTTGAATCGCAAGTAAAAGGAAGTAGAGAAAGGAAAGAACCATGTCCAAAAACATTAGCAGAGCATTGAAATGGCGTATAACAATATCAAAGATCCGACTATCAATATTTTCACCCAAATCTCAGTGGCGTTGATTTGGGAACTTCCAAAGTCAATCTACTCCACTTCATCGATAGCTTGGCTTGTGCTTAACAGGTACCACACTGCTGGAGGTCGACCTTTATCACACGAGCAACGATAACTCATATCACCATTCATCCCGGCTCCCATTCCTTGAGAGATCACCGGTGGTCGTAGCTCTATGCAGATTTCGATACTGCTCCGGTATGCTCCGTGGCATCTTGACTCCAAAATTAGATCCGCTGCTCTGTCGGAGTGGTGGTCGTCTAATTGGCCCCACGGATCCTGTACTCGATGGCATGTTCGGATGATTCAAACCCATGTTGCCATCAAATTCTTGTTTGAACTCGACTTGTCCACCACCAACGTTCGAGTTAAAGTTTCCCATGGAATTCGCGTTGATGTTGTTGCCAATGGGAGCCGAGCTAATATTTTGATATCCTCCGCCATATTGAGCCATACCTGGATATTCCATCGGGCTCATCGGGCTCTGAGTAGTGGGGGGGCTTGTGTATGGGGTACCCTCCGTACTGTGACTGCTAGGAGGACCATTGACGGGGGATGCCAGCTCTTCGACACGTTTTTTAAAGGGAGCCAGAGGTACGTTGGATGGGTTGAACTCGGTTTCTGGTTCAACCTTGAAATGACCGCTTGTTCCATCGCCGTTGTATCCCGAAAAGGTACTTGGCACGCCCATGCCAGCATTACCGAACCCATCAAAAATGTCAACCTCCGCGCAAAGGTTTGGTGCAGGGGTATCTGGTACCGTCTGAAGCATGGGGTTCACAAGGCGGGGAAGAACATCGTGGACCTTGGAGAGAAGAAGGGGCAGGAAACGGTGATCGCCGCGACGAAGAACGGAAAGGATTCGCACAAAGTCGTGGAGATAATCTCGGGGTCCTAGTTGAAATGGATCGGGATTTGGCGGCAAGAGGGAGAGAACGTCGGTCAAAGAGCACGCGACATCGAAAAGTTTCTCAATCTAATTTTAAAGTTAGCGTGGGAAATGCCGAAACCAGGATATCAAGCGTACCAGACCCATTCCATGGACCTCCATGCTTTGTTGGGAGAATTGCGAGGTCATGGATATCAATTCCCAAGCGATTTCAACAGGATAGTTGAAAGTCATGCTTGGATCGTCATGATTGGAACTCAAGCAACCATTTTGGATGCTCAATTGCCATACCATGGTTCGAAGCCATTGTTGACTGGTTCTCAAATCCACCGTCTGATTTTCGGTCGAGTTGAGATATGCGGGTAAAGCCTCGTTCAGTTGTTTTTGTAAAGATGCGAGGTATGGTGGCGTACAATCGGTTCTTGTTTTGTTCCAAAGAGCAACAAAGTTGTCATCGAAGGGTCTGAAAAGACTGATGAGGTGTAGAAATCCGTGTAAATGTTGAGCTTGGGGATCGGAAGGATCGTCATCTTGAGAAGGAAGGTTAATGGTGGCTTGGAGGGAGAGTGGTCGATGTCGTTGAAGGGCATATGCTCTGCTCTAGTATTAGCATCTCGAACCAATCTTTGGGGAGTATACATACCTCTCGGTGACGAAAAGCAGCCAGTAAAGTCTACGTCTCCTCGAGGATTCAATGGCGTCGAATTGCGAATAGCTCTCCTCCTTTTGTAATGCCAAAATGTGTGCCAATGTTGTAGCTTCTCGAAGGTGAAACCAAGCCTTGTTGTGCATATCCAAGCCGAAATTGCATCCAAATAAGAAGAAGCTGGTAACGAGACTGTTCAAAGTCGGGTTTTCCAAATGATCATAGCTCTTCCTCACCCTCAATGTCTCATCCATCAGTAAGTTCCCGGACACCAGATTGGCCCCTGGTAAACTGTCCAGTCCCAGAGGATCGCCTGGTATTCCCATCCCTGGCTGGATCATCATGAAGGCGCAGAGCGACGTCAACAAGCAGTAGGTATCGACATTTTGATCCGCATACATGGCCTGTTGTTCGAGACGTCCACGGTGCAGAATAGGCAAAGTCGGATACATGTTGGCAAAGAAGAACTCGAGGCATTCTTTGATCATGTCTGCGGTCAGCAACCCTGGGGTTGGGGCCAAGGTGGGACTACATGGTGGACTGTTGATGCCGTTCAATCGATTCGCAACTTTCGACGAGAGGGTCGATTGTCTTTGCGTCTCGCGGAGCTCACTGATGACCTTTGCTCGCGATCCTTTGGGGCCCTTCTTCTGCGGAATGGCGTGGTAGGTACACGAGAGCTGAGCCGACGAACAATTCCGGCACGGATTGATGCCATCGCACTTCACCTTGCGGCGGTGACAGGCGTCGCACGCCCGCTTGACTGACGTCGACATGGCGTGATGATTGCCCTGGGAGATTCGAGGTTGGGAGGAAGGAAGGGAGGGTGGTGGTGTTGAGGAATTTCTTGGGGTAGGACTCGAACTCTCAGCTCGGCGCAGGTCGGCGGCTCGTGGTCCACCGCGCGTGTGTTTGGGGTCGACTTGCGCCGAGAATGTTGGTCAATGGTGGTGTCGACAACACGGTGCAATCGTCCTCGAGTACTATGAGATACTAGAGTACGGGGTCGTGGTCGTGGTCGTGGTCGTAACGTGGAGTCGGTGTGGTATGGTGGTGTGTGTGGTGTATATTGATGGCCGTCTGGGGACGCTGGACGCTGGACGCGGGACGCTGGACGCTGGACGCGGGACGCTGGAGAGAGTCGGTCCTGAAAAGGGAGTTGGAGGTGATGGGAAAGATGGAGAGAGGATTTCCACGCCGTGCCGTGCCGTGTGGTGCTGCAACGGCACGCAACTGCGGGGGAAGGTCACCGTAACAACCCTAAGCAGGGGCGACCAGATCACGAGATGCAAGGGGGCAACCCAATTTCCTCGGCAAGGGCTCTAGGGGGATCCTCTAGGGGCCTTGGAAATGCGGAGGGGGATTGCTTGGAGTGAGACGGACGAGGGGTACCGAGCCTATCTAGGTTGGGATATAGGATATACGGAGTGTATGTGAAGTCTACAATATATCTGATCAAGGGCAGCTTTTCGGGGCTTTCGGGGTTCTATAGGATGCGCTTTATTGATAGCATTCATAGCAGTGGTGCAGTGCACTGTCATTGGTGCTGTCAAAAAGTCGGTAGAAGAGTACGGAGGTAGAGTAGCAGTGCAGCGCAGTCAGTGCAGTCAAGGCAGTCAAGGCAGTGAGTGCTACTCGAGTAGGCCTATATCCCGAGGTCTATTGAACTACTACCTAAGTACCTAGGTCTGTACACCACCACAGGCTCCAGCTGTCTGTCGGCTGACAGGACCCGACCTGACTATTTTGGTGGAATCAATACCACCTGCACACGACCTATGAAGGTCTGGAGAGGGGCATAACTCTTGAACATGAAAGATCAACATAAATCTTTCTCATATCAGCTATTCACTTGATCTCTCTCACCCTCTCCACCAAAATCATCATCACTGACTTCAACACGCGAGCCCTCAAGCGACTAATCCCAATAGTCATATCCCCTCGATCCCTCTACCGAGTGGCAGGCGATATGGATAGGATAGGTAACGTAGCATGTCAGACGCCCCGGAATCTTCATCATCCTTCCGGACTTCCTACCTAACCAGTTCCCCATTACATTACGGTTATAGTATTATTACGGTTATAGTATTATTACGGTTAAAGCTTATAGTATTATTACAGTTATAGTATTATTACGGTTATAGTATTATTACGGTTATAGTATTATTACGGTTATAGTATTATTACGGTTATAGTATTATTACGGTTATAGTATTATTACGGTTGTAGTATTATTACGATTGTAGTATTACTAGTCTCATCTCCTGAACCTTCGTACTTCAGGACGAGGACGAATAAAAGGCATGAAAATGAACAATCAACAACTGATCAAACGTCAGCCAACACCTCTCTCCACCACCAAGCGAGCAAGCAATCCTGTACGTCCCACATCCCGCCTTCAAAACAAACCCAAGTCCCAATGATCCCCATCCACAATTTCAAATTTTTCCTTGCCAGAGTGACATTGTTATTTTGCCATCAATTCGCCAACAACGCCATCGCTATTGGTACCTCTACAAAACTTACTCGAGTCGTCCATGGTTTGCCCCAGCATGAATCGCCAGATGGTGCGGAGTGTTCCTACTACCGCACAGTAGTCACGACTCCACACCCAAGGTCCCGGAAAACGTCGTCATCAGAAAACTCTAACTGCGTGCCCATGCCATGCCATGAAAGAAAACAATTCAGGTACTGTACTGTACAGCAGTACGTATTTGTATCAAAGCACGAGGCGAGGGTAGGGAGGTAATATTTCAGCAGCGCAGTCTCAACACCTAATAAATTCAAGTTCCACAACATCAACAAAACCAGCAAAAATATCGGCTTATACCCACCTCTGCCTGCGCCTTATTGTAAGCCCTAGGTACTCGAGAAATTCAACTGCACGCCCAGCGCCGCACTTAGCTCCCCTAAAATCCAATAAACACCAACACCCCTCGAGATCTCAACCCTCCCCCGCCTTCAAAAAGCCCAAGCAAGAACCCAATCAACCAAACATCCCAAAGACGTCACCAATCAAAATGACTAGGTCACCATAAACGTGCCCTAAACCCAAATCCCTTAGAGTAGGTAGAGTTTATTTCCCTCCGCACGACTCACAAACTCTCCTCTCATGCCCACGAGCTCACGAACCAACCATGGGATGGTTTCCCTTCCCAATCCGGTATTAATTCCGTCCCTTTGCTCGTATCCAATCAAAATCCCTAGGGGATACCCCACCCACGTACAACTAAACGTTCCATGGGGGCTGATGGAAGGCTTCCATGCATGACACCAGTTAACTAGTCAACCAGTCAACTCAACTCAACCCGTCAACACTACGGCAGTCTGTTGGCTGCCCTCCAATAAAGGATTCCCCCCCTTGTCACTTGATTTCCCCCTAGGCTCCAATAGGATGCCCTGGTTCGTATGCTACCTTACCTCATCATCCCTTTAGTATCCACGAATAAGAGTTGTCTGTCGCTGTCGTTGTCGCTGTCTATGATGTATATGGAAGGGAGAAACAAAAGTCACTACACCGTACAGTAAGGGTTCTCATTAGTCGAGTACTGTAAAGTATGTCAAATCTACAGTACATACAGTAAAATCCCCCCTCCCAACAAAGATACACTACATCCCAATTAATTTCTTAACATATACGCACGAAAGTCCAGTTAATTACTCCATATATACCAGAAGGTCTAATAGAGTAGATAGATAGATACCGGTTCTTATAGTGGTAGGAATCTCGGAGTCTAGGAGTTTAGGAGAATTATCCATCCGTGGTAGTTTGTTGATTAATTATAGGGTTTCCTGGTAACTGGTTGTGTACCGTTATGGGAACTTACATGTCCTATATAGTTGCCTACTATACCATATAGTATAGTATAGGTATATAGGTAGTATCTAGACGGTGTTTATTAGATTCTCATGGTCTGAAGACGATATTCGACGAAAACTCCTATTTCCGATTTCTACCGTTTGTATCTGTTGTTAAATAATTTATTTATTTTCAAAGTTTTTATTTGATGTTTTGAGATACTTTTATTCTTACTTCTACTTCTACCTTTCTTTACCTCCACTATTACCTCTATAGTACCTCCTTCCTTACTTTATACTCATACATATACTCAAACTTAGACCTACTGCCCAGACCGTTTCACACACCACACCACACCACACCACACCACACTATAGTTCAGTTTAGTCCCGATATCTTACTTTCCTTTCCTTTCCTTTCCTTTCCTTTCCTTTCCTTTCCTTTCCTTTCCTTTCCTTTCCTTTTCTTTCCTTTTCTTCTACGCACTAACTTTGAAGTCTGATTCGATTCCGCGGGGTGAAATTCTAATTGGGGTTGGATGGACATGTGCCGTAAGAGAGGTAAGTACCGTTTGTGTCGGTACTGCGATTACTGGGGTTCCTGGGGTTGTTGATGCTTGGGTTTTGGGGTTTTGGGGAGCTGGGGAGGTTGGAGCTGTGACGACCTGGATCCTGAGTGGGTGATGAGAGGGAGAATGGGAGATGATGTGGAGGGGTTTGCTTTGTTTGATTTAGTTTTATTTTGTTATTGTTTTCTCGAAGATGAGATGGTAGGGGGTTTGTGTGTATGTGTATGTATTAGGAATAAGGAGTTTCCAGACGTCCTGAGGGATACTTGATAATGGATAATCGAAATCATATTTTGAAACAAACTCTTTCTGTGGTCTAGGTGGCAGGTCCAAGTCCAAGTCCAAGTCCAAGTCTAAGTTCAAAAAGGTAGAGAAGAAAAGGTACTGTAGAATTCAAAGGCAGAGGTAAGGGTATAAGGAAAGGTAAGGGGAAAGTAAAGTCAAAGTATGGGTAAAACAAGTTAGAAGTACCAAGTAACCGGGAGTAGGTAGATGGAACTCAGAACAGGGGGAGTGGTTATATATACTATTCAGCAAATTCTACATGTCCTTCGAGACAGTTTGCATTGGGCCAATGGTTATTCAATATAAGAAATTCTCATCAATTCTCTCCGGATATATCGGGAAGGAGGGAATTTCGGAAGTTAGTTACCTACCTACTATACCTTGCTTTATAATTTACCTATAGGCACTTATAGGCACTTATAGGCACCCATATGTAGATTATAAGTAAGTACGAAGGAGGAAGTACTAATCGAGTATGTGCTAGTAGATACCGGTACTGGAACTGGTTGTTAATACTGGTAGGAGATGGATTGCTCGCAGTGGTTAGTTAATTTTACTTTTCTTGTATCGGTACGTGGGAACTTACTGAAAAGTTTGGTTTATGTTGGTACTAGTACTGGTTGGGGCTTAGTTGGTTAGAGCTGGGAGTTCCTGGATAGGTGGATGGGTGGATGGGTGGATAGGGAGGTGAAGGGGTAATGGATAGATGTTTTCTTGTCTTGCTATAACGTGACTGGATGGGATATAATATGAAGTAGTTAATATACCTTAAGTTTTCATATACGACGAAGGGCATAGGTTTTAAAGGGGGGGGGTGTAGGAAGGTTGTTGTCCTTCGAGATAGATACATAGCTACAAGGTTACTTATATTTCATAATAAGATTTTATATACACGTTTAAGATATTATAAGGAAAAGGAGGGATACGGAAAATGGAGGGTAATACTTAGTTAGGCTACAGTAAAGTTATAGCTAGGTAAAGACATAGGGGAAGTTAGAAGCTTTTAGGGTAATAAATATTACTATTTAGGGAAAAATAATACGTGTATTGTGACGGTTCAGACCGTCACGTGCTACCTATCACGTGGTGTCGCTTAGCGACCCACACCTTGTATTTAGATCGAAGCTCTCTCGAGCTCTCCTCTTCTCCTCAGCTTAGAATCCTCGTATTTGACAGTTTCTACGATTCCACCTCTCCACCGTGGGCCTTGCGTACGTGTCGTCACATTATTCTAAGCTCTCACACACTGCCTGGGAAGGCATACTGAATATCCCTTCCTCTCTATCCGTCGCGGTAGAAGGACCCCACGATCCTCAACTGCC